CGTATTTAAAATGCTATTTTATTATTATTAATACAAATAACTAAAAATAATACGGCATGTTTTAAAACAACGTTTAAATATTTATATGGGTAGTACTACAGTCGAAAACAAGTTAACCGTTTTCGAGATACAGGATGTTCAAATTTTTTGGGACTCTACCTTTTTTCTTTTAAACTATAACTACTACAGATCCGATATTTGGCAAATCGATACAATATGAAACTGTGTCTTGTTGAGAGTAGTATGATGTTTCCATTACTTTCACTTAGACCGGAAGTGAATGATTAGACCGGATAAATACTATTTTTCAGAAAATTCAAAAACTTTATTTAACAATTGGATAGATTGTTTAATTCTAAACAATATTAATTCGAAAAAGAATTCAGTATTCCTTAAGGTTTCCGAAAAAAAAAACATTTTTTAAAATAATTATAAGTTTCACTTAAACTTACAAGTTTTTATAAGCATCATCAAAACGAAGCTTTTTACTGAAGATGTTCAAAATGTCGACCTGCAACATCAATACAGTTTCTAATTCTACGTTCAAAGGAAGCCCGAACTCTTTCAAATAACCCGGAGTTTTCACGAAATGTCTGGCAACCCTCTTCTATTCGTTGCCCCAAGTCTTCAAGATCGTTTACAGGTGTCGCGTGCACTAAACATTTTAAGTAGCCCTTTAAACAAAAGTCTAGCGGGTGCAAATCCGGCGAACGTGCAGGCCATGCAATGGGACCCCCTCGCCCTATCTTCCAGTAGCTCACTAACTCTCGCAAAACATTTGTTCGTCACATATATTCACAACATTAAACGCAGACTGCGAATATCCCGACTCGTCCTGTAACTGGCTTCCTCACATTCAGTTTTCCTATTCCGAAGTAAACTATTACACACATTGGGTAACCGGGACACCCCATTCTTGATGACGTACGCAACACTCCATACTGCCTTGAATGCATTTTTAGCACCCAATTTCTTTCCCTCAATTTCCTTGTCACGCAGTCCAATGCCTGCACTATAGTACCATTCCCTCTCCTGAATCCGCATTGACCTTCATCCAACTTACCCTCTGTCTCTATGTAAGCCAGTGACCTCTCCACAACCACTCTATCAAAGAACAGCAAGCGCATAGGCTTGACCCTGCCATTCGAATTCGGCAAAAATCCAGCGATCATTTCTCTCCACTTCATTTCTTCCCCAATTTCCCTCTCGCTCACCTTTTCCACCTCTCGTTTGTTGCAAGTCCATTTTCGCAATAAAAATCCGCCGGTTTTTAACATCTCGTTGAGTTGTTTTCGAAGAATTAGTGCTTCTGTTATGGAATCTGCACCAGATAACACGTCATCAACGTAAAAATCTTCTAAGACAACTTGAGACGCCTCTGGGAATTTGCTTTTGTAACGTTTTAACGGCTTAGTATGGAGCGGTTGTGATTTCGTAAGTAACCGTCAAAAGTTTATATTCCTGTATAGGATGTATTGAATCTCCATAATATTCTTTGAAAGGGTTCATCTTCTTTCGAAATTCTTATTTGCCTATACAGTTTCTTTATATCAGCTGAGAAGGCAACGCGGGGTTTTCTCCATCTTAATAAGATATCTAACAGTTCTTGCTGTAGCCTAGGGCCTATGTGCATGACGCCGTTTAAACTTATTCCGTTGAAGGTTTTACTCGATGCATCAAACACTACTCTGAGTTTTGTTGTAGTGCTTGATGGACGAATAACTGCTTGATGAGGAATAAGTATAGTAATTAGCAGGTTCATTTTTTGTTGTATTTTTGTCATATGACCAAGTTTAAAGTACTCTTCCATAAATTAGTGGTATTGGAGTTTCAATTGTTCATTTTTTGCCAGTCTTCTTTCTATTTGTGTTAGTCTTGCTACCGTTCGACATTTGGATTCACCAAATTCTGGTTCAGTTTTAAAAGGGATTGTGACAGTGTAAACGTCATCATTTCTCTTTCTGTTGTTTTGGTGATGATCTTCACAATCGGCATCTTCTTTCGTTTGAATTGTTGGAACTAAAACTTCTTCCATTTCCCAGAATTTCTTTCTTCGACTCGATTTATCAAGCTTATAATTGTGGTAGCTTGTTTCTCTTTCATTGTTCCTGATAAAATCCATCCAAACTCCGTGTTCTGTCCCAATAAGCCATGTTCAACTTCTTGAACGATTTTTCCATATTCTTCTGCTCCGATGATAGCATCTATGGGACCAGGAATATTGTAGGTGGGATCAACTAAGATTTTGTTGTTTCAGTGTTCGTCTGAGGGAATTGGTAGATTTTTGTTTGGTAATGATTGCTTTAGCTTAGATAGAATAAATAAAGTGCTATTGAGGGTAAAGTTACTTGGAAAATGAGGTTAGACGTTTAGGTCCACTTTCCATTTTGATATCTTTGGTGAGCCGTCTTCCAGCCCAGATATTTTGGCATGTATTTTTTGCCTTGGATGAGCGAGTAAGTTCGCTGCTTCTTCCGTAATGAAGGATTGATAAGTATTCGGAGTTTTTCGGAACTGCCGGAAATTGTCTTAACTTTTACCAGGGCTGTTGCTAGAAGAACTTCACCTTTTAGTCCGGTTGATGCAATCCTGTTTTTGGTAAAAACTAGGATTACATTTCTTGTAGATTATGTGCTTTGGCTAATCTACTTGTTCTCATCTCTATGAAGCAACGTATGATATGGTTTTTGGCGGATGTGACATATTAACGTTGAGTTGCACATGTTGCTTTTGTCGTGAGATAACCAATTTTTGCAAAAATTTTTAGCTTTGATGTACTCTGTCCTTTCTGGAACTGTAAGTTTTTTGGATTTCATGCAGAAGTGTATTATGTGGTTTTCTTTACAATATCTGCACTTCTTTTGCTTGCATTGGATTGTTTCACTTTTTTGGTTCAGCGATTGCTTTTAGTGTTTGGAAGCGAGTTCTGAGAAAACTTAATAAATCTTGGAAGTCTTGTGTTTTATGTAGTTCTTTCAACGACAGTTCGAATTGCTTGTTCGTCTCATAGTCCCCTTTTCTGACAAGTATTCTTCCTATTATAGGACTCCAAGATTCCGTTGGAATTTCCAGATTCGATATGGCTTGGAGACACTCGACTGTTGTATTGTGTAATTCCTTTATCTTTTCCCCGTTTTCAGTCGTAGTTGCTGGCAGATCCAAAATCTTGTCCAGTAGTCTTGATAGAATTAATCGGTTGTTTTGGTAACGTTTTTGTAGAAGTGTTCACGCTGCATCATAATTACTATCGGATGTTTGTAGGTGTTGGATTATTCGACTAGCTTCTCCTTTCAGGTACGTCTTCAAATATTGCATTTTATCGATTTATTTTTTGGAAAAGGTCATAGAAGGTGATCCATTGATTATAGGATCCATTAAATACTTGAAGTTTTATTTATGGAAGAGGGATAGCAGTGTTGTTCTAAGGCATATGTTGTGTTTCAGAGAAAAACTCTGTCTGAAGGTTGGAATATATATCTTCTTCGAAGTATCGGGCTTCTTCTCTTCTATTCTTCCAATAGGTGCTTTTTTATTTTGATTGCACCATTTCCAGTTTTACTTTGTTGATTAGTTTACCCATTTCTTTGATTCTTATTTCCTGCCTTTTTATTCTTCGGATCTGTTCTGGATCTTCAGTTGCTTCTTGTACTCTGGTTTCGGGATGTTGTGCTTTTTGGCACTCTTTCATGTAGCTTAGAGCATCGTTGTACACTTGTTGTAATTGCAGGTAATAGTTTGAGGTGTAATACCAATGATTGGGTATTTTTATTCCATTTTGTCATCATTTTCTTCGATCTTCTTCCAAAGTGGTGTGTTCGAGGGTGTGTAAACGCTCTTGTATATACTCTGGCGTCTTTCGGGACTGTGAATCTTTTGTCATATTGGTGTGTAACTTCTTGATATTTTGACTGATTTTTTCTTGATTTTGGGCATATTGGTTTAATGCCTCCATGATGAAGGAAAAGTGTAAAATTTTGTTTGAAAAGATAGCTTTGATAATGCGCTACTGAGAGCAGCCTCACTCTCTGTTTTATGGCTTGGTCCGTAGCGAGGAATGGAAAACTATAAGTTGTATAGTCAAGGATAAGAATCACTTCTGAGAGCAGCCTCACTCCCAATTTTAGGCTTTGTCCAAAGTGATAGGTAAAGAAAATTAAAGTATGACTTTAATTTTGGTTGTTAGTTTGTAAGTGTCGTAGGATCTTTGTTCTGATTCGTAGCGACTGAAGAAATTAAAGTAAGACTTTAATTTTTTGTTGCTGGTTTCTTAGGTTGAAGGACAATGTTCAAACTCCGGGCAGGATATTTGAAAAGCGTTTGGGAGAAAATAAACTCCGGGCAAGCCAGATATTTATTTTGGAATGGATTAAACTCCGGGCAGGCCAGACGTTTAATCCAGGAAGGAAATGACCATTACGAAGATATCAATATACTGTTTGTTAAGTCGAAATTTTGGGTTTATATACAAATCTTAATGCTAACTGCTAAGTGCGTTTAAAAATATTGTTTAATAGAGATTAAACAGAGATATCAAGCCGGTTCCATACTTAATGACCACTTGTATAAGCCAAGATGGCCGATTTCCAAATCTGCCAACTTTACATAAAAAAATTTTAGAAATACTATTTTATTAACACAATTTTTGGAGTAATTTCACTTTTATTTTTATAAATTAGTTTCAAATCATTTTAAAACGACTTTTTAAGTTTATATTATTAATTCGTTTTGATTAATAAGCTTCAATTTAACATTATTTGATGTTTGAGGTTATGTTATCATTACGAACTGTCAACCGTTTTGGTTACGTTTGAATCGTTGAAGTTAAATTCGCAAATAAATGGTTTTTATATGTGATGTTGCGTTATAAACCACTAAGAAGTCTTATTTTCGTTATTTAAAGGTAATTTAAAAAAAAAATAATTTAAAAATATTTAAAATAATTTTTAATTTATACGATTCAATTAATTAAATTAATACTTTGAGGTTATACTTATATGTCAACTTGTCGAATGAAATGAAAACGTTTTTTTTACTTATTTATTTACATTTTTATTATCAAGTATTAGGCGATATAAATATCACAATTTTACACATAAACGATTTACACAGTAGATTCGATGAGTTCGATGACAATGGGAATTTTTATGGGGGCGTTGCTCGGATAGCTTATAAAGCGAATGAGTTGAAGAAAGCGGCGAAGGATCCCAAATCAGTTCTGTTTTTGAACGCGGGGGAGTCATTTAGCGGAACGGTTTGGTTTGCTTTACACCGTTGGAAAATTGTTTCGGAATTTTTAAATTTATTACCTATCGATGCAATGGTACATTTTACTAATATTTTTAATCAAAAATTAATTTTTTGTAATTTTTAGAGTGTTGGTCTTCACGAATTCGATGATACCATCAAAAATTTAACGAAATTCGTCGAATCATCGAAATTTCCGCTATTATCTTGCAACACGAAATATCCCACATCCGCTTTAAACAGCAAGGTGAAGTCTTGGGTTACTTTTACGGTTGATTCGATTCAAATTGGAGTTATCGGGGTAACCCTAAAGTTAGCTGAGAAACATGCTAGTGCTGGAGGGAGCGTTTTTTACAACGAAATCGATTCGATTAGGCGCCATGCAAATAATTTAGAGGATAAGGGGGTTCAAATCATCATCGCATTAACCAACGTGGGTTACGAACATGATTTAAAAATCGCCGATTACCTTGATAACATCGATATAATTATTGGGGGGACAACGAATACTTTTTTATACACCGGGGATCCCCCGGATTCCGAAAAACCCGCCGATACGTACCCGAAAATCGTTCGTAAATCGTCGGGGAAAAAAGTTTTGATTCTCCAAGCTTACGCTTACGGGAAATATTTAGGAGTGCTTAATTTAAAAGTTTCAAATAAAGGAGAGATCATCGATTACTCGGGGAACCCCATCTTATTATCATCGGATGTTCAAAAAGATGAAGAGGTCGAAAAGCTAATTCAAAAATATAAAAAAGAAATTGAAAGCGTAACAAACACAATAATTGGCGAAGCTATAAACGAATTATCTCGGCAAAAATGTCGCTCGGAAGAATGTAACCTCGGAAATTTATTAACCGATTCTTTTATTGATTATGTAAGAGATTATTATCCAGCTAATTCGTATTGGTCGAACTGCGCGATCGCTTTCGTAAACAGTGGATCGATCAAAAAAGTGATTCCGAGTGGGAAAGTCTCGATTGGGCATGTTTATGAATCAGTTCCTTATTGCGAGCCCTTAGTTTTAATCGATGTTACATGGCAGGTACTTTTAGGAGCTTTAGAAGTTGGTTTTGGAGGTGTAGTTGATGATAAACATGGGCAATTTTTACAAGTAGCCGGATTAATCGTAAAAGTCGATAAAACGAGACGATCGGGAAGTCGAATAATCGACGTACAAGCGCGTTGCCAAAAATGTATATCTCCAAAATACGAACCTTTAGGTTTAGAATCAAGTTATAAAGTGGTAACTAATCGGTATTTAGCGTACGGAGGTGATGGGCAAGATGAATTAAAATCTTTTAAGAGAAATGAGAAAATGTTTGATCTTAATGATAATCAAGCTATAATTACGTACTTTAGGAAATATAACAGTGTTGATGTTGATGTAGAAGGAAGGATTATTTTTGTTAATTGCGGGATAAAAATGATTTTTAATCGATTTATTATCAATTTAACTTTGTTATTATCAAGTTTATTTTATTAAAATATGTCAATGTCCGATATTATTGTCAAAAATGATTTTTTTTAAATTAATTTTAACGCAAATTTTAATTCACCTAGCGTTTGGTGATGTAAACTTTACGATTCTTCATATAAACGATTTACACGCTCATTTCGACGAGTTGAACGAGGGTGGAAAAGTGTTTGGAGGAGTCTCTAGGATTTCGCATTTAGTAAATGAATTTAGAAAGGATGCTGATTTAAAAAAATCGCCGCCCGTTTTTTTCTTAATTGCGGGCGATGTATTCTTTGGGACTGTTTGGTTTTCGCTACGTCGATGGAAAATTGTATCGGATTATGTGAATCTTTTAGAACCGGATGCAATGGTAAGATAGACGGTTCATGTAGCCTTATAAATAAACCATTGCTTTATTAGTTGCCTTAAGTTTTGCTACCACTAGTATGTTGTTTTGTAAGTTTCGGTAAAACATTTTAACAACTCTTACAAGTAGTAACATGTTTTTAAAACTAAATTTGTGTCTAATTACTGCAGAACTTGGCCCTTGATGATGATAGTGACATGAGTATTAACAATGTTGTTACTGCTCAGGACAATAATATAATAGTGAATCAAAGTAGTGAAACAGACAAATTGAAGAAACAAGTTAAGCTACTTCAATACGAGGATTGACGACTAAAGTGTAAACTAGAACAGCAAACTAAACATTTAGTAAAAGTGTTTAATGAAGACCAGGAAAGATATGTGGAACTGGATACACATAATAGTTTTTGCTGGAATGATAATACTATAAATAAAGGTCTGGACCAAAGGTTATGAGGAAATACGATCACAACACCTTATCCTAGTGAAATAGTCTTTCAAATATAAACCTGGAATTGTTGAAAATGTACTAAATCTTCTTAAAGTCAAAGCAAGAAAGTAGAAAGCATGTAGATATCTTCATGATAATCCAATTTAAACAGATTGATACATTTTCAGCAATAAAAAAACATGCAATGCTCCTCATTGATGAAAATATGGCGATTGTGTGTAACTCGTGTAGAAAAAGCATCTCTCGACAAGATGATTATATATCTTGTAGTGTCGACATTTCCACGGAGAGCTTCATAATACTTAAAAAAACTGGAGAAGTAAAGGTCTGGTGTTGTGAGATTTGTAATAACAACATAACCAACGTCACAAAAACGTCACAATCCTCCATTACCAAGATAAGCACGCCACAGCAACAAGAAAACATCAAGAATTACAGAAATAATCGGAAACCATCAGTGATTACAAATAGCAGAAATAAAACAGGGGGAAATTTATATTTATAAGATTAACGAATTCTTCCTGATGATGAGGACTCGTATCCTCGAAACATGTAGAGAATAAAATAAACATATAACATCGATAAAGTACAAAATAATTTAACCTTCACATACAATATAACCAAAGAAAGCCAGAACCCGGTATTCACATAAATTATTGATGAAATGATAGCAGCAATTCAAACAATTGTATTAGAGGTAATAATAACTTTCAAGATGAGTTAATTAAAGAAAATAAGTCGTTAATTAACGAAATGAAACATTTAAAGAAATCTTCGATTTTAAAGAACTCTACCGTTGATTCTTATTCAGAATTAACAGATGCACCAAAAATCACTATGCGAAAGTAAATACACCCGTAACGCTGACTCAAAACAAACCGGCCCAGTTCGAGCCTTGCAAAAAAACTTCCATTCAAAACATTAGAAAAAGTATGTTTGGGATTCATGTTGCAAGTTTTAAATTTAAAATTTAAACTATACTGTTGGAAATAATTCACGAGCACACCCTATATAATCTGAACGAGTGAAGATAAATCCATAATATTTGCGGAGCACAAAGGTTTACTGTAGACGAGTTTATTCAGCGAGTTTCGAGTTGTTCCGTCGCGGCATTGTTGACTGAGCCGTTCTTCCAAGTGGAACATTCCGTCGCTATGGAGACCGAAGTGGATGGAAAATACCGGCCGATTTTGGTGTGGCGGGAATGCAATGGATGGGCGATCGCGTTACTTAAGCGAGGAATGTTTGAGGGTATGCACATTGAGGGTGTATCATTCTGTGAAATTGCGCGTCGTCTCGAGCGGTCGTTATCGGCAGTGCAATGGGCATGGCGAGAATGGTCTGAGGTAGGACATAGGTACCTACAGCCGCGGCCGGGACGGCCCTGCGCGACCCCAGCACATGAGGATCGCACTCTTGTGCTCAGCTCTTTAGTGTCGTGTGCGTCTTCCTCAAGGCAACTGGGAGCTGTTTGGCCACCGGCAGGGGAAGGCGCACTCACTACGCGAACTGTATGGCGGCGTTTGGTAGATAGTGGACTGCGCGCGCGTCGTGCGATACAGCGGATTCCAATAACACCCGAGCACCGCAGCATACGTCACGAGTGGGTCAACGCTAGGCATTAGTGGGTTGCCGAGTAGAGGGACATTTTGTTTTCCGACGAATCAAGATTCGAATTGAGCACCGGTGATGCGCGAATTTTAGTTCGTCGGAGACGTGGTGATCGTCTACTCGAACAGTGCGTGCAAGAATGCCCTATCCACCGACAACCGAGCATTATGGTATGGGGTGCTATTACACATGGTGGACGTACATGTCTGCTGCTTGTATAGCAGACCATGACGGGTCAACGATACGTAGATGAGATGCTACGGTCCGTTGTGCTTCCCTATGTTCGGCGGCGTCCAGGTCTCCTATACATGCACGACAACGTCCGAACGCAAATCGGGCGTATTGTACAGACCTTTGTGGAAGAGCATCGTATACGAATGCTTCCTAGGTCAGCTCGTTTTCCGGATCTGAGTCCAATCGAACATGTTTGGGAAATGACTGGTCGGAGACTTTAACGTTATCCGGCTTCCCCGGCTAACGTTTTGGTGCTATGGAGGCGAGTTGAGGTGGCATAGTTGGCCATCCCTCTCGCTACAATACAGCGACTTATAGACTCCATGCCACGTCGTGAAACGATGGTACGCGAAGCTCACGGGGGATACTCTCGCTATTGATGTTTCATCCCCCAGCAGAGTTGTGCCGCTCTTCATGTGAGAGTAAGTTACACTACTTTAGTACTACTTCCATACCAAATTTTATTCCGCTAGACATACGCGTTCAGATTATACAGGGTGTGCTCGTGAATTATTTCCAACAGTGTAAAAATCCAACTAAACAGATAAGATTTTTAATAAAAATACTAAATATTAATATACAGGGGTTGTACAATAAAATAGACCGTTTCATCAGCGTATAGGTATAACAAGTAGAGACAATTCGCGGCAATGCCTTTGATCTCTATGTCTCCATTTTTCAACATTTAGGAAGGGGTTGAGGCTGGGTTCGCGTTAATGGCACTAGATGGCGCCAAAGAGAACGCCACAGTTTAAAAACGTATAACAGAAAACTATAAATATTTCTATTTCGGAAACCGAAATAAATGTGTGTCCTTTGTCGACGGAAACGTATGACAATAATTTCTCACACAACACTCACTCATTTTAACTTCACTAACGTTTATTATAATAGCAAAAACCATACAATAAACTGGCTGACGAACAACGCTCGACAACGTTTAAAAATGACATAAACTAGCGCCGCCAGCGGAGATAAAGTGAACTCGGCCTAAACCTAGCGCGTGCGAATCAGATTTGAGTTCGCAATTTTCTGTCTTTATCCTTACTTGTTATACCTATACGCTGGTTTTATTACAATTGTGCAGAATATGGCTGTTGATTACGTAGTTATCACCCAACACTGGTTAACTTCCACTGAACTTACTTTAGTCAATTTCAATAATCACAAGATGGGTGCTTCTTTTTGCCGTTGCAATACCATTCGTGGAGGGTGTGTAATTTTAGTAAAAAATACGGAAAGCTTTAAAGAAAGGTTAGATTAGATTTAAGGGCACTATCAATAGAAGAACATATAGAAATTTCTGCGATTCAATCCCTGAAAAGAAAAATAATTTTAATAAGTATATACCGTTCAACTGGAGGAAATCTTGAAATATTCTTTGACAGATTTCAAGATATATTACGTAGCATAGAAGAAGACGTTGCGGGAGATTTTAATATAAATGTACAAGCCATGGAAAAGTATGAAGTTGTGCAACTGCAAGACATTTCTGAGAGTTCTAACAGTTCTACATCTGTTTTCGAAATACTTTAGTCATTTGATATCCGTCTTTAACAAATATTGTCCTAAAAGAGAAATTACATTACAATCTAGTATGCGTTTCAACCAATATTTACCAACAAGAATAAAGGATAGAATAAACACCATAGAAATTTGAAGTATTCTTGCGCAATGTACAAAAACAGACACGAGGCATACAGAATTTATAATAAATATAAAAATGAATCATGAAACGAAATAAAACGTGAAAAGCAATTGCAAAACGAAAATTAGATCTATAATGCACCAAACAAGTAAAAGAAGGTATGGCAATTAATAAATAATGAATTAAAGGTAAACAAGAAAGCGAAGAGAAAAATTGATGTTACACCTGAAGAGTTTAATGAATGAAGTAAACTCGGATTTGCAAACAATTATATGAAGACTATATCAATACAAAACAATGCGTCATGTTTTCTACGACCCACCGGTACTATAGAGATTATGTCGATAGTAAAGAAATTTGCACCAAAAAGCAGTGACATATATGACATATAAGGACATATATGGAATGTCTATGGCCTTCTTAAAAAATCTATACCATTCTATGTGTTCATTTAGTGTACATTTTTAACATGTGCCTCAAACACGGAATATTCCCTGAGGAATTAAAAGTCGCTAAAATACACTGTTGGAAATAATTCACGAGCACACCCTATATAATCTGAACGCGTGTGTTAGCGCAATAAAATTTGGTATGGAAGTAGTACTAAAGTAGTGTAACTTACTCTCACATGGAGAACGGCACAACTCTGCTGGGAGGAGAAACATCAATAGCGAGAGTATCCCCCGTAAGCTGCGCGTACCATCGCTACACGACGTGGCATGGAGTCTACAAGTCGCTATATTGTAGGCAGAGGGTCAACCCACTAATGCCTAGCGTCGACCCACTCGTGACTAGGATTCGGAATACCGACCGAAAATTGAATACCGGTATTTCGGTATATTTTCACTGTAATACCGGTGTACCGGTATTAATACCGGTATTGGAAAAAAATATAAAGCAGCTAAAAATGGAGAGGTAAAATAATGAATTAAACGAAATTTGATAATAAATGTATTATAGAAATGTAAAATAAATAATTATTCATACATAAGACTTATTAAAATGTGCTCTTAAAATACATAGGTTTTCTAATGTATTATCATTAAGTTTACAACGGATTTTTGTACAAAAACTTTGGGCTGATGAAAAAACCCTCTCTGATTCCACGCTTGTAGGAGGAATGGTGATTAAGTAGTTATAAATTTTTTGAAGATGACTGCCTCTAACTCCCTCGTTTTCAAAGCAGCTCATTTCCTTTTTTACCAATGCTTCCAAAGTAAGACTTTTGGAAATTAGTGGAGCAGATGATAATTTTTCTTTAATAGCCATATTTAATTTGTTTGCTAATGTTAATGACTCTTGTTCACTTGATGTACTAGCTAAATCTTTTTGTTCATGTGATGTACTCGGTAGGTTTTCTTTATTTTCGTCCGTTAGTCTATTTAATAAATTTAGAATTTTTTGTTTTATATTCGTTTTGCTTAATAATGAAAAAAAGTTATTTTGTGTATTGTTATGTAGGTATTGTAATACTTGAGACAAACTTGAGTGACGTTCTAATAGTCTCTGTAATAAAGTATTATATAGGTTAATTGCAATTGGGAAATTTGATTCTTTAAGAGTTTCCATCATAAATGTTACAGCTACATCTGCCGTTAAGAGATTTGCATCTCTCCGACATAGAGCCTCCACTGCTAATTTGACAGGTGTTAGTGACGATATTGCATCATTAATTACGGCGAACTCTTCTTCACAAAATGCAATGCTTATTTTTAAATCTATTATTGCCTTTTGTAGACAATACCGTAATTATAAGTAAACTGTTCCACCTTGTTTTAACGTCTAAGACCAAAGATATTTCTTTGTCGAACTCAGATTTCACATATTTTTGTAATGTTTCATTCTTCAATGGTGATCTTTTAAAAATTTTTACAATATCACGTATTTTTTTAATAATAGGCGATAATTGTGGATATTCAATGTTACTGACGCCTTTATGGCTGCATTCTACAGCAATCCCATCATTTTCTTCTTCATCGTCATCATCTTCATGTTCACTAACTTCTTCTTCTAACAAGTTATCGTCTTCTTCTACTTGTTGATGTCTTTTTGCATATAAAACATCCATGACTGCCAAGTGAATACCATGGGCATAACATAATTGGTGTTCGAATGGTGCCAGACGTCCTAATTTTTTCATAACAGCAGCTCCATCGGTTGTTGCACTTATGATGTCAGTATAGATGTTTATACCACATTCTGTTAACTTATTTTCTAAAATCTCCAAGCAGTTTTCTGCAGGCAATTGCCCATTTATTTTAATTAGACCTATATTAAAATAGGTATTTGCAGTGTGTATATTGACGTTTAAATATCGCCGATTTTTGATAGATGTCCACTCATCAAATGTCATACTAAATTTATTACCATTTAATTTTAATTTGCTTATTTGTTTGAACATATTTAGTTTTATTATTTTGGTAAACTCCATTACCATATTTTTTATTGTTTTTGAATCTTTTGGTAAGTGTTTGAATCCTTGTGCAATTAATCCTGCTCTAACATCTTCTGATGTAGAGAATAGTCTAAAAGGAAGTCCATCACGTGCCGTCATCCTCGCTAGAATTTCTGGTAGTTTTTCTTGTTTGTCACTTTTATAATATGCACTTATTAATTTATTTTGTGTTTCTATTTTATTTCCCTGAATGGTTTCTGGTAATTTTCTTTTAAATAAATTTATATCATGTATTGTCTTTAAGTGTGTGTGTAGACCAGATGTTGAACCTCCTCCGCACTTTATTTTTTTTGAACATTTCCTACGTTTAGCACTCTGCTTCTCCTTTTTTTCTATGAGATAGTAAAACCACACGGAGCTTTGATCATGCCCTTTGACATGTTCTTCAAAATCTTCGTTTTCCATAATATTCTAAGAGCGTACAAAGATAATCGGCATTATTATTAAATATTCATCAAATCATTTAAATCATTCATTTAAACAACATGAAAACTTTTTACATTCCACGTATTTGTGAATTCTAATTTTGTTATCTAGTCGATATACAATTTACTACGTAAAATTTACGCTTTTAAATGAACGGAATTTACAGCTATCATTGCTTGCCGAAGCTTGTTACCATATATTTGTTAGTAATTAACAATTAAAAACTTACCTGATTAAATTGTCTTCTCTTATGGATTAAAAACACCAAATGGAGTTCTTTTGTCCGACTGCTTCAGGCGACAACTTGTTGTCGCCAGTAGTTTATATTATCTACCTACAAGTGCGATTGGTCCGGATAGACGCTGACATACATATAGTATCTCTGTTATGCTTAGAGTTTTACTATGCTTCGTTGTCGCTTTAGTTCACTATAAAAGTACGAAAATACCGAAAAATACCGGTATTGTGGAATAAATACCGGTATTTAAAATTTTGTCGAAATCGGTCGGGATCCCGGTATCGGTATTACCGGGATTCCGGTATTCCGTACCCTACTCGTGACGTTTGCTGCAGTGCTCGGGTGTTACTGGAATCCACTGTATCGCACGACGCAGTATGTCGCAGTATGTATCGTAGTGAGTGCGCCTTCCCCTGCCGGTGGCCAAACAGCTCCAAATTGCCTTGAGGAGGACGCACTCAATGCGCTGAGCACAAGAGCGCGATCCTCGTGTGCTGGGGTCGCACAGGACCGCCCCGGCCGCGACTAAAGGTACAGCTCTGTTCAGATTTAATGCGAATCAGCCGCTGTTAGCTCCGACATGACGCTGGTACTGGAAGAAGACGGGGACATCTTTTGTTTCTATTCAATTCGATTTCTGAGACTAAACGAAATGGGAAGGTAAAACCGTCTCGGTATGATGCTAAACCCAATACAAGAAGTGGTCGCATTCCCTTGGGTTATTGAGGATGGTAGCATTCATGGATTCGAGTGCTGGAGGATGTTTTGATACCACCAGTAAGAACCTGTATCCAGAAGGGATCATCACGATAGTCCAAGACAATTCGCCCGTGCATTCATCAATAATTGTTCATGATTGGTTTGATGATCATAATGAGGTTAGGCGAATACCCTAGCCAGCGTGGTCACCGGATCTTAATCCAATCGAAAATCTATGGGCTTTGGTGGAAAAACAGTTCAATAAAAATGCAAACTTTCCGATTCGCAACGTGGATAATCTGCCTCACATATACTATATAGCCTAACATATACTTTCGTATACATCTAATAGATGACAAAAAATTACCATATACTGAATTTTAGCGAAATCGCCTGACCGGAAGTGTTAATTTCAAATATCTTCCCAACTACAGGTATAATAGATATAGGTCTATAATTAGACACATCGTGTACGGAACCGTTCTTGTGTATAGGTACAACTTTTGCAATTTTTAGACAGTCTGGAAATACGCAAGTGCGAATACATTCGTTAATAAGTTTAGCCAATGGAATAACTATAAGATTTTTGACTGTTTTGATCAGCTTGGCATTTAAAGAAAATGCATCAAAACTATTTGTACTTTTTAGTTCTGCTATTACATCACACACTTTACCGTAGGAAACCTCCTCAAAGGAAAAACACATCTATCATACATCAATAAATATTATTATTATTATTATTATTAAGCCGAGATTCAATAATTGCGATTATATCATTCTGAAACTGGTCATCATGTGGCGCCTCGACCGTAAGCAGTGACAAGTAATGTTGTAAATAACTAATTAACCTAAGGTCATAATATCCCATATGAAATACATACATGAATACTTTTGTGGAACTCTGTATACGATACGTTCCCCATAAAATATAAAGGTGTGTTCAAACATTCTTTGGACTTATCAAATCAAGTCGGCCAAGATAGATTTGTCAAACTGTACGTTGTGATCTTCTCTTTTGCACTTTTGACGCGGACTGTATATTAACTTTAATTTAATATCAAAATAATTTAAATTTTCTTTGAAATAAACTTATTTTTTTATTTCAGTGTTTGGGCAATCACGAATTCGACGATTCGCTCAAAAACTTAACGAAATTCATAAAATCTTCAAATTACCCATGCCTATCTTGCAACACCGACTTCGTAACCGAACCAGAATTAAATAACCTCGTAAAACCTTCGATTACATTCAAAATAGGATCGTTCAAAATAGGAATAATCGGCGTTCTAACAACCGATACGTTACAAGCCGCAAATTGCGAAGGAACCGTAATAAACGACGAAATCGAATCGATCAAAACTGAAGCTCAACAATTAAAAGAATCGGGCGTTAATGTAATCGTCGTTTTAAGCCACGTGGGATATGAAGATGATTTAAAAATAGCCGAAGAAATTGAGGATGTTGATATCGTCGTGGGTGGGCATACAGATACGTTTTTATGGACCGGAAAACAACCGGATTTGGAATCGCCCGTTGATGATTACCCAAAAGAGGTTATTCAAAAATCGGGAAAAACGGTTCTTGTAGTTCAAGCTTACGCTTACGGAAAATATTTAGGGGTGCTTAATTTAACATTTAGCGATAATGGGAATTTACTAAATTATTCCGGAAACCCGATTTTATTATCAGAAAATTTTCCGAAAAATTTAAACATTGAAAAACTCGTTAAAACTCACCGAAAAGAAATCGAAAAAGAAACAAAAACGGTTATTGGCGAATCAAAAACTCATTTAAGCCGACATTCATGTCGTTACACCGAATGTTACCTAGGTAATTTATTAACAAATTCTTTTATCGACTACATAAACGACGAAGAACCAAATTTGCCGTATTGGGCGAATTGCTCGATCGCTTTCGCTAATTCGGGATCGATCCGAAAAAGCATTGACATCGGAAACGTTACAGTCGATGACGTTTTTCAAGCTTTCCCTTATTTCGGACCGTTAGTTACCGTAGAAATAACCGGAGAAACTCTTTTAAAAGTTTTAGAAGTAAGCGTGAGCGAAAACGCGGACGAAAATTATTTTAACGGCAGATTTTTACAACTTTCCGGTTTGACCGTCACGTATGATAGAAGTAAAAACGTGGGAAATCGAATTTTACGCGTTCAGGTTCGGTGTCAAAAATGCGAAGCGCCCCAATACGAACCGATTAGATTGAACGAAAATTATAGGATTATTACCACTTCGTTTTTAAGCACCGGAGGTGATGGGCAACAAGATTTAAATAAGAATAAGAAAAATCTTCAAAGATACGATATCGCCGATACGACTTCAGTTGTAAGGTATTTTAGAAAATATAAAATTATTGATTTGGAGGTGGAGGAACAAATCGAGATGAAAAAGTATGAGTCGTGTGGTTTGAGAATTATTTTGGATGAAAAACTTTTTTTTGTATGTTTATTTTTCATTATTAAAGATTAAACTAGTAGTTATTGTGTACTAAAGTGCAATTAAACCATAGGCTCGACCAAAAGCGAAGATATTGGCCACTCGCGAATTATTGTGGTCGAGGCAGTACCTACATTACTTTAATAATTGTTTTTGGTTTTTCTTAACATTGTGTTGATTTAGATGAAAATACTTTTTTCTATACTTTTTCAATGTTATATTTATTTAAGTTCTCTATTCTACATGTTTCGAGGATCCAGTCCTCATCTTCAGGAAAATTCCTGTACATGAATACAAGATAATCAAATCAAAATTAAGTTTGAAATTCAAAACAGTGTGTAAAAGAAAAGAAAATTAAAATTATTTTTAGGTTATGTCAATCTTAAAGAAAATTAAAAATTATTGTGTCCTTATTTCTACTTACGTCAATTTTTGAATAAAAGATAACCATATCCCTCAGATTACAATTCAAAATTCTTAGGACTAAACAATTAAAACGGAAAAAACTATTAAAATTGAATCGGAAGATTCTGGAACTCATCGGCGTGTATTATGGAACCAGTTTTGGATGACGTATTATCGCTATGCTATATATAACAAAATCAAACTTAAATTAAGATTAAAATCAAATACAATTGGCGACATTGAATTTGGGTGGTTAAAGGACTTACATTTTAAAAATTTTGTTTTTAAAAACTTTCTATAAATTGGTGTTGGGTTTGTGATGAGTTGTGATGGGAGGTTTGGGAGTTTTGTGGATAGGATGGGAATAGTAGCCAAGGAACCAAAATATTGCAGAATCAAGTCGCTACTTTATCTTGATACTCTCGTTTATTTTGGTGTTTAGGCATTCTTGTTCGTTAAGGCATACGGTATTGGGATTGTTAAATATAAATCTTTTAATCTCGTATCCTTCCAGTAATTCCATTAAATGTCCCTTATTAATATTGTGGAGTATGTGTGCATCATTGTTTTCATTGAATTCGTGGTCATGATTAAATATTAGGTGTTTACCAAAGTTAGAATTGTCTCTAGTTTTATGTTCTTTTATTCGTGTTTTTAGTGCTCTACCTGTCTCACCTATGTATGTTGCGTTGCAAGTTGTGCATTCCAATTTATATACTCCATTTTTGTCGAGTGTATTGAACGATTGTTTATTATTTATCAAGGAATTAGTTAAAGTGTTGTTCGTTTTGAAAGTTATATTAAGATCATATTTTGTAAAAATTTTCTTTATTTTAGTAGTTAAATGTCCTGGGTATTATATTGAAGAACAATATCAATGTCAACTGACGCAGTTTGCTAGCCTCTATGATATTTTTCCTCTTACTCAGTCTGGCTTCCGAGGGGGATACAGCTGTACGACGGCAATGTTGGCAATCACGGATGACATTATGGTGGCTACAGACAGGGGCGATGTAACAATAGTAACGTTGTTAGATTACAGTAAGGCGTTTGATACGGTGAACCATAGCACTTTATTAAAAATTTTAAATTACTTTGGGCTTGGCGTGTCTGCGCAGCAACTCCTTGGTGATTATCTGTCCAATCGTTATCAAGTGGTTCAAATAGATAATTTGTTGTCTACAGCTAGACTGGTCGAGCATGGTGTCCCACAGGGTTCAATTATCGCGCCAATTTTATACACGTTTTACACTTCCCTTATATTGGAGTGCATTAGGTTTAACAACTTTCATATGTATGCTGATGATACCCAGCTCTATTGTAGTTTTAAACCGGATGAATATATCACAGCACAAGAGAAAATCAACTTGGACCTTCAAACCCTGTGGGATATTTCAAATTTACACCAGCTGAAAATTAATCCTGGGAAATCTGCGGTTATGTTGTTCGGCAATCAGCGTATCTGTTCTGAGCTGAAGAACTTAATACACATTAATATTGGTGGTTGCACTCTTCCCTTTATAGACGAAGCTAAAAGTTTAGGTCTTTCTCTATCGAGTGACTTTAGATATAGAACTCAGGTCGGGCGGTACATTAGAAATGCTTATTTGAGTTTACGGATGTTATATCCTCACAGGGCGTGTCTGCCTCCTCACTTGAAGAAGGGATTATGCGAAGCTCTTGTGCTGTCGCAGTTTAATTATTTAGTACCGGTCTACCACCCTGCTATTTGTTCTTCTGAAGCAAAACGCATTCAGGTAGTGCAGAACAACTGCCTAAGATTTATTTATGGTATCCGCAAATTCGATTCTATAACTTATAAACTGACTGGGGCGGGGTGGTTATCAATGGGTAACAGAAGGCAGCTCCATGTACTCATATTTTATAACAAATTAATAAAAACGAAAACCCCTAAGTATTTATATGATAAAATACGCTTTAATTTTACAGTTCGTGATCGTGATACGAGAGGGAAACACCACATATATCCTCCTTATCATAGAACCTCAATGTTTAAGCGTTCCTTCTCGTATCACATATATAAATCATATAATGAACTGCCGGATGAACTTAAGTCCGTGGGGGCTGCGCGGTTTCGGAGAGAGCTCTATGCAAAACTTTTCGATAATCAGACATTAATTATTAATCAGCGTCAGAATCTGAGTGTGATGGGCGATCAGGTCAGATGGTGAGTCAAGTTCGGTTGTTGTTTACCGGTCTGGCAGTTATAACTACTTTATTGTTTTTGTATGAACCCGGAATTTAATTTTCTTAATTTTGTAATTTTTAATTTTTACTTTCCTAATTTGTTTTTTTTTTTTCCCTNAATGAGTTATAGGGAATAATTGAGTCTGTTTGTGTGGGTTTTCTGTAAATGTTGTAATGTATGTCATTGTCCATTTTATATATTTCGACATCAAGAAAGTTTATTTTATTATTATTTTCAATTTCTGTGGTGAATTTTATGTTGGGGTGTAGTTTATTAAGGTATGAGTGCATATTTTCAGCTATGGAATGGTCTCGGGTATCAAATATTACTGAAATGTCGTCTACATATCGTTTCCATGTTATGGTCTTGTTCCTAAAAGGGTTGATATTATTTATTGTATGGTCGTTTTCTAGTTTATTGAGGAAAATGTCAGCTATTAGTCCACTGAGGGGTGAACCCATTGGTGGACCTTCGTTGTACATATACATTTTATCATTAAACAGGCAAAAGTTTTGTTCGATGCATAGTTTGAACAAATTATATATTGTGTCTATTTCTCCTTTATCCTTTAGTTTAGTTTCCAATATGGTTCTGATAATTTCCAATGATTCTCCAGTAGGTATGTTAGTGTATAGATTGGTTATGTCATATGAAACTAGAAGGTAAGTTTCCTTTAACGTTAAGCTGTTAAGTTCTGTTAGTAAATCGTTTCTATTTTTAACTGTGTGATTTGCTTGAAATCGAATGACATTTTTCATGAAGGTTATAAGGAATTTTGCTATTTTATAAGTGCTAGAATCTATTGAGGTAATGATTGGTCGTATGGGATGATTTTCTTTATGCAGTTTAATGAGGGAGTATAGTCGTGGTATTTTTGGGTTCATCGGAAGTAACTTATTGGGGTATTTTTCATATTTAGATAGGGTTTCTTTTATTTTGTTAATATATCTCCTAACCTTATTATTAAAAGTGACAGTGGGATTTCTTTCAATTTGTCTAAAGTTATTTTCGTTAAGGAAAGTTTCAGTTTTAACATTATATTCGTTTTTATCAAGTATAACCAAACCTGCATTTTTGTCTCCCTTGGTGATTATCACTTGGTTGTTCTTTACTTTTTTCTTTATGTTTTGTATTGTTGTTGTTTCTTTCTTCTGCTCTTCTTTTAATCTTCTCTTCTTCTTGTTCCCGTTCTGGAGTTTTTCTCTACCTCTTTTAATTTCTTCCCCGATCAATAACTGTTGTATTTCTCTTGAAATGTCTCTTTCATTAGGTTTACCTTTAATTGTGGCCTCAATTTCCAATGCAGTTCTTCGTAAGCTTGGTTCTTTTTTGGGGGCATATTTGTTACTTTTGTTGAGCATTTTCCTGAAGATGAGGACTGGATCCTCGAAACATGTAGAATAGAGAACTTAAATAAATATAACATTGAAAAAGTATAGAAAAAAGTATTTTCATCTACATTACTTTAGTTCCACTACCAACCACTAGATGGCGCGACTTTTCCTAGTTACTTTTTAAAAAGTCACCAGATCTAGTTAGTTTTCCAATACCAACCTAAATCTTGTTGCTTTTTAACCCCCTAGATTTAAGTTGGTCACAAGAGGACCGTAATCCAGAACTCTCGTTTCTACACTACTAGTGACCTCGGTTATTTTTGCTCTAACGGCAAAGATATTGCACCGTGATTTTGATGCACAAGTAGTTACTGTGGATTAAGACAGTGGAAATGTATTTGTAAAATGTAGAGCCATGGAAGTAAGCGACCTCTGCATTTGAGGTGATTTGAGTTACGTAATGAAGTCCATTACCGCATTGGTTTCATTACGTAACGCATTTTTAGCCCAATCGGAACAGATTTAATTTATTAAAACGAGCAACAATACAAAAGAAAAAGTGCTACCTATTTAAAGAGAATCAATACTATTTATTATAAACATTAATTGTTATGTTTTTACATTTTGAAACACTTATTTCAGATGTGTAAACAGGTTATTGAAACTCACATTAATTCAAAATTGTCAACAATGACTTCAAAATATTTTTATAAATGTCAAAATAGACGTTTGTAAAGAAATTGATTTTTAAGCAATTTTTGCAGTCAATTTAGAGCATAATTAGAATACTCGTGTGATTACACAACTCGGTCGTACAGTAATTATGTTTCTAGCCCACTTGTAATGTATGTATGCATACATGTAGACTTTCGCATACAGCACCTAGTCCCCAACGGGCCCCTTGTACATTCTCCAGCACTCTCTCCGGCTACATCAACCAGCCTAAGAAATTTCCGAAGGCTAGGATACAGCTCAGATGTGTGTTCTTGTGTCGAACCATCTCCTCGCTCTCTTCACAGAGGCGAAAGAGAGGACTAACAGCAAGCTTAAGGTTATAAAGATGCTTGTTTAACTTACAATGACCCGTGCAGT